TTTTTCTCAAATTCCTCGGCACTACTACCAAACAGATCTTCCTATTATGCCTAGGCAAAACTACATAGATAATGAACCAGATCTAGCTATATATGCTCCATCACACATGTATGCATATACATTATGTTTTTAAAATGAGGTGTACCAAAAGTAGCTGAAAAAAGTTATAACCTAAATAGTTGATGGTCATGGACCCATTAAGAAAGAAAGTTGCAATTTTAATCATTCCTTTGATTATGAACTTCCTGTGTTCCTTCTCCAACAATCACATTAAAACTGAACTATATTAAATATCATTTAATTATGCCAGCCAGGGACGGTGGCAATCCCAGCACTTTGGGAGGCCGAGGCGGGAGTATCACTCGAGGCCAGGAGTTCAAGACCAGCCTGGCCAACATGGCGAACCACTCTACCTACTAAAAATGCAAAAATTAGCTGGACCTGGTGTTACATGCCTGTAATCCCAGCTACTCAGGAGGCTGAGGCACAAGAATCTTCTGAACCCGTGAGGCAGAGGTTGCAGAGAGCCAAGATCGCACCACTGCACTCTGGCCTGGGCAACAGAGTGAGACTCTGTCTCCAAAAATAAAAATAAAAAAAAATTAATTATGCCTCTATAGAGATTTTTCCTAATGTTCTGACGTTTGCTTTCTTAAATCAGAAGTAGTCTACAGCCAGACCACCCTGAGGCACCCAATCTTGTCTGATCTCGGAAGCTAAACAGGGTCGGGCCTGGTTAGAACTTGGATGGTAGAAGCAAAGCACAGGACATATCATCCTCCTAAGAAATGTCAGGATCTTTAACATCTTGTGGGGAAAAGAGAGATCAGACTGTTACTGTGTATATATAGAAAGAAGTAGACATAAGAGACTCCATTTTGTTCTATATTTGCGATGCTGTTAATCTGTGAACCTACCCCCAACCTTGTCCTTGCAAGAGACTGTGCTGTGGGGACTCAAGGTTTAAAGGATTTGGGGCTGTGCAGGGTGTGCTTTGTTAAACAAGTGCCTGAAGGCAGTATGCTTGTGAAAAGTCATCACCATTCTCTTAATCTCAAGTACCCACAGACACATACACTGCAGGTTGCAGGGACCTCTGCCTAGGAAAGCTAGGTATTGTCCAAGGTTTCTCCCCATGTGATAGTCTGAAATACAGCCTCGTGGGAAGGGAAAGACCTGATCGTCCCCCAGTCTGTCACCCATGAAGGGTATGTGCTAAGGAGGAAAGAAGAGGAAAGAAGTATAAGAGGAAAGAAGGCCTCTTGGCAGTTAAGATAAACAAAAGCATCTGTCTCCTGCCCGTCCCTGGGCAATGGAACACCCTGGGCAATGGAACATCTCGGTGTAAAACCCTATTGTATGTTCCGTTTATTGAGAAAGGAGAAAACCGCCTTAGGGCTGAAGGTGGCACGTGCTAGCAGCAATGCTGCTCTTTATGCACTAAAAAGGTTTATGGAGACGTCTGCGTATGCATATCAAGGCACAGCACTTTTCCTTAAACTTATTCATGTCACAGAGATCTTTATTCATATGTCTTACTGTTGGCGTGGGTCCTCTGTATGGTGAGCAGGGTCCCCTGGGCCCACTTTTTCTTTCTCTATACTTTGTCTCTGTGTCTCATTTCTTTTCTTAAGTCTCTCGTTCCACCTAAGGAGAAAGGCCCACAGGTGTGGAGGGGCAGGCCACCCCTTCAAACATCTTGTGAGGTTTCTAAAACTTAATGATGTAAGAAAACTAAAAAAGAGATTAGCTATCAATCTTTTATAGGAACTAGCCCTTAAAGGGGAAATATCCTGAGATTCACAGATATTTATAAAAATTATTTAAAAAGTTAAAACATAAATATAATGAAATCAATAGGCTTTGATTCTTCAACATAAAAACAAACCACTCTCTACTTCTTTAGTTACATAACGCTTCCACCTTTTAAAAAATATTTCAAGAACTCTTATCTCATTTGATTTACAAAGCTGTCTAAGTAGACAGGTATGTGGGTCCAGCCATTTTATAAACAATAATCAGATACTGTTAACATTTACATGTGGCAAAAGCGTTTTTAATAGCAAAATCAGAATAAGAATCCAGGCCTCCCGTCCATTAAGTTCTGTGTTCTTACAAAATCTTTACTACTAAGTGAAAAATCAAAATATCACCATAATAAAAACCAATGATGCTTAATCAGTATCTTCATATTTAGTAAGTAAATGTTTCCCAAGTATATAAAGGAGTCTCTGAAGATTTCAATACTCAAGAATACTTACAAAGACGAACTAAATACTTACTGAGTTTCTCTAGCTCAAGCCGCAAGCTTTGACACTCCTGGGTTTCATTCACAAGTCTCTCCTGACTGTGAGACAACCTCTTTTCTATTTCAAAATACTGTTGTTCTACAGCAGACAAGCAAAAAACAACAAAATCAAACACATGTACATACATTGTCAATACTGTTTATTTCTAATAACCTCGAATTTAAAATTTAAGGTATAGTACTAGAATTGCACTTCACGTAACAGAATCTGAGTAAAGATAAATAGACTGAGCACTGAAAAGGACTTAGAGTATTTCCAAATGACTTACATGACAAAAAATAAAAATAAAAATAAGGCCTAAAAGGGACTTTACAAATGAATGTCTTTAAGGCAGGTAACATGTCTCATTTATCTTAGTATTTTCTCCAGACATCAGTAAACTGCTTACCATGAAGTATTTATTAAACGAGAAAAAATTGTTTAGACAAAAAAATTGCTTTGTTTTAAAAGGCTTCTTTTATAGTAGTCAAGATATTACCTGAAAGCATAAAACTACTAAATTTACGTAAATGTGTAAACTTCCCAAGGGAAAGGATTGAATATCGTGCTCAGCATAGTATCAGGAACATGTAAGACACTCAATATTTACGGTGCAAATTAATACATAGAATGCAACGTACTACTCAGCTCTGAGATCAGAGAACTAATTTTCAAAGTCAATTCTGCTTGACAGTTACACTTATTTTTACCTTTTTTTTTTTTTTTTTTTGAGACGGAGTCTCCTTCTGCAGCCCAGGCTGGAGTGCAGTGGCCGGATCTCAGCTCACTGCAAGCTCCGCCTCCCGGGTTCACGCCATTCCCCTGCCTCAGCCTCCCGAATAGCAGGGACAACAGGGGCCCGCCACCACCTACAGCTAATTTTTTTTTTTTTTTTTGTATTTTTAGTAGAGACAGGGTTTCACCGTGTTAGCCAGGATGGTCTCGATCTCCTGACCTCGTGATCCGCCCGCCTCGGCTTCCCAAAGTGCTGGGATTACAGGCGTGAGCCAATGCGCCCAGCAGACAGTTACACTTTTTTTGAAGTAAAAACTTGTTCAGAACTTCCAGTCAACTTAGCAAGAACAGCATTAACTTCCCCAAACAAATGGTAAACCAAAACACATTATCAGTAAGTTTGTATTTTACTAATGGTAATTACTATATTCTTCATATTTTTTCAAGGATGTTCAAGCCATTATTGTCAGTAACTTTCTTACTTAAAGGCCTACTTTAGGTAATTACAAGAAAATTTTAATGTTTTCTATCAAACTCCAACTTTTTGAGAGAAATCAGATACATTAAATTTATGTACTGCACGTTCACTGTTTCCAGCGCTCTTATGCACCTAATATTCATTTTCGTAAACATCTAATTCATTCTGGGGCCACGGGACGACGCACACACTAAGAACAAGTGCACAGAGTGGTCAATTTGGCAAAGGCCTAGAATGCAGGTGACTAGAAAATAGGGCGGAGCCACTATCAGTTGAAGTGCAACAAAACATATAAGGTACTCCAGGCTCAGAGAGATGGGTTAGCAGACTCCAGCCAAGTCTGTTTCCTGTTTGTCGGACGAAGAGAAATAAGAGTCCCTATATGAGCCTACCCTAATGACAAAGAAAATGGTACTAAACTTAGATTCAGATTTTATTTTTCAAAGGCTTCTTATCAAACTGTAAGGAGCAGGAAAGCGAAGGCTCAGGATATCCAAAGAGCCCAGGAAGTGAGGTTAACAGCGTGGTACCCAGTGCCAACTTGATAGGGGGAAGACTAGACCCAAAGGGCGAGAGTCAAGCTCATAACCAAGTGCGGAAAGAGCATCTCACTTACCGCTCTCCACCTTAAATTTCTCGTGCCGCCCCTTCAGGCCATCGATCTCGGATTGCTGATCAGCAAGGAACTTTTCAAGTTTGTTCTGGACAGACTTGGGCAGCTTGTTCAGCTCTGTGCGCTCCAGGACTTGCTGCAACACCGCCGCCATGTCGGTGGGGCCAGGGGCCCCAGTGGCAGCGGCTGACGGGGTAGAAGCGGAGAAGAAAGGCGAAGACCAGGAGGACCCAGACGCCTGGGCCGCCGCCTCTACCACCTCGCTCGGTGGCTCGCGCGCGCCCGCCCGCCGGAGACTCCCGCGGCGGGACCCTGGGAAATCGAGTCCAGCCTAAGCCGCGGCGCTTCAGCAACAGCACCTCACCGCCCGCGACCGAAGTGCGCGCGCAGCCGTTGGAAGCTACGCACCCTGGGAACCCGAGCTCAGCTGCTACCCCGATCCTATTGCGCACACAATTTTCCGGCTTCCAGCTCCACCCACTTCAGGCCTTGTAGGCCTCTGGGAAATGTAGTGTTTTTCTCATTCCCTTCCGCGAGCCCAATCCCGCACCGCCCTTTCAGTTTCCGTTTTTCTCCCCGCCCCCCTGGCTCTCCTATCTCTGCTCCGTAACCGCTGTCCGCACGGTGGCGCCACATACGTACTCGTCACCCCATGGCCCTCCCTGAAGAGCTAGTGACCTTACCATCAAAGCCCCGGGATGCCATGGATCGTCCTCTTTGGCGGCTTCTGGACACTGAGCCACTAGAGGGCATCGGTCCCGGTAGGGGCGGACGGCAGGCTCCAGGCTACCGCCACGCTCTCTATGGCGCCCAGAAGGGGGCGGGGTGGCGACCGCAGTCGCTTTGGCTGAGGCTCTGCGGTGAAGGGAGGGGGGCGTTTTACGTCATCAATCTGCGCCACCTGACTCCCAAGACCCTAGCTTTGGAGTGGGAAGTGAGGTGTGGGAAGTAGGTCGCTTTCTGATGAATTAAGTGGCAGTGAATTGAGACCGGAGGGAATCTGGCCCCTAGAGGCTGGTACTTGCGCCCCCAAACCCCATCTCCAGCAGACAGACTGTCCGAGGTAATTGTCGGCCACGAGTGCACATTCTGAAAACAGGTAGTCAGCCTAAATGTAGTGTGTGTGTGTGTGTGTGCGTGCGCGCGCGCGTGCGTGTGCACTAGAGCACACAGCTCCCTTTTCAAGAGAAAAAGGAAGGGACAGAGTGTTGGAAACATATGGACAGTCACTCCGGCACACACTTCTGACGAACTTACCTTGTGTGAAACGGCGTACCTAAATGGTTTTTGGCGGTGGAGAGGTGGTACTGAGTGATACAGTACCCGGGAATTTAAGGACCCGGGTTAATTCTTCAGGAGGAGAATTAAAAGAAACCGTTAGCACTTTGAGTGTAGCCTGTGTTTTAAATTTTTCGTTGCAGAAATTGCTACCTAACATTATATTGTTTTTAAAATTGAAAACTGTTATAACTGAAGTTTTTAAACACAGTGTTAATTGCTACAGTAATAGAACTTGCATGTTTCCAGATCATAATTCTGTAATTTTAAAGCTCAATCCGTAGATTGCTTCGTGTTTAATTACTCTTCAGAAAGAATTTATTAAATTATTCATTGTAAATAATGCATTCCCAATGTCTTCTCTCTGCAGTTCCCACAGTCGTGGGCCTTCTGTGAATTGGAGATTTATTTCTTATATGAAATTTATTCTTTTTCTCTAGTTCCTACTTTTGAATCATGTTGTGAAGCCATCTAAGAAATATAAATGGAAGCATTTTGTGATATTTTGTAATAACTAAGGAAAAATAAATCAGCAGCGGAGCTTAAGGTTGATTTTTCCCCCAAAATACTTTTTAGATAAGCACTGTAATTAAAGTTGCTGGTATATGAAGTATTATGCTATGTCCTAAGCGCACAGTATTATCATACTGTTGATCTGTCATTTGGGAAATGTAGATTTTCTGTATTTAGATTCACAGAATCCTAACATTAGATAGGTTTTCAGATCTGCTAGGATTCAAATGCTTTATTTTATAGATTAGGAAACCGGAGCCCAGGAAGAGTGAGTTGTGTCAGTCACAGTGCTTGGATCACAAAGGCTTTGGCTGATATACAACATTTCTGGAAAATTATGACCCTATAAGGCAAAATACAGTGATCCCTTAGTGTCCGTGGAGCATTGGTTCCAGGACCCTCTCACCTGCCCACCCCATTGATACCGAAATCCATGGATGCTCCAGTTCCTTATATTAAATGGTGTAGCATTTGAATACTTTAAATCATCTCTAAATTACTTATAATGCCTAATACAGTGTAAATGCTATAGTTGTTGTATTGTTTAGGGAATAGTGACAAGAAAAAACATCTTTGCACTAATGGTACAGATGTAATCATGCTTTTTTAAAATAGAATTTCTCTCAGTCTGTGGTTGGTTGGCTACATGGAAGTGGAAACCACAGATATGGAAAGCTGACTATATATATTTTTAGTACTGCCTTTTATAAAGTATGGTTGACTACATTTAAACATTTTGAAAGAGCTCTAAAGAAAAATTTATCTGACATTCAATCCGATTTCATAATTGAACAGATTTTCACCTCTCTATTGCATTGAGTTTCTTACACATTAATATGGCTATTAGTGACACCCTAGAAGAACTAAGGTTAAAAGGGTAAATATAACTTTGGAATTATTTGTATTTGTTGCAAGAATTAAGAATTATTAGAGCAGAAGGAAAAGGAGTATAATATGATGAAGTAGAGGAAAGTTAATATATAGAATTTCATACCTTAAGGCATTACTAAAAGGTAAAAGCCCTTAACTTCACAGAGGCATCAGTGATATTTAGACAAGCATTCCTAGACTTAGTCTCTAAAAAATGATATGCAAATCTGATTCACGTCTATTGTTGTCAAAAAAGAGCTAGGAAGAAATTAACGTATTTTGAGACAAAACTGAGCAAGCTCATTGAAACAATAATGAAACAGCCTCTAGTAGGACAGTTCAAACTTGAATCCATTCTCTGGGCTTTAATTTAAAAATGCAAAACCATCTTGTGACTGACAGTTTACTGGTATCAGATATACCATCCCAGCATATCTCTGGTAGCCTTAACTTTGTGGTACTGAGTAAGATTCACATTTTTTACAGAACTCAAATGATGATTATTCCTAAATTGCAGTGTTCAAAATACTGTAACTGTGTTCCTGCAGTCTCTGTTTGTTTTATAGCTCTTTTGGGTATCATCTCTTTTACATTTTCATCCTCACCAATTATGAGCTCCTTGATTTAATCATTCATTATATTGCCTAGCTCTTTTATTCAGTATCTTTGGTTTTAAGCTATAGAAATGCAAATCGAAGGAGCATAAGCCAATAGAGGGAATGAATATACTGATTTCCTTCCACAAATCAGAGAGAAAGCAGAACAAGAGCTATGCTTAGTAATGATTTAATTGAAGGACTGGTTACAATTCCTCGTTATGAGAATGGTGTTGAAAAACAGGGATTCTAGAGCTGGAGTGTCTCCTTTGCCACTTAACCAACTTTGTCACTTTGGCAAGTTATTTAATCAACTTTTCTCATTTCAGTTTCTTCATATATAAAATGAGGATTATAATGGTACCTACTTCCTGGGGTTTCATGAATTATTGTTACATGGAAAGTACTTACAATAATGCCGTGTTCAAAATAGAAGCTATATAAATGTTGTTGTATTGCTATTTATCTACTTAAATAACTCTTACTGTAGTATATATTGCTCAAGGACAGAGACTGTGTTGCTCATCTTTGTGTTATCCCACTTAGCATAGTTTCTAAGCAAAAGTATAGTTCTTTCATATATGCTTATCAAGTAAATGAATTTGACTCTACTTCCTAATGAACTATTCAGAAATTCATGTTTACTATTTTAGCAATGAGAACACTGAGACTTAGCAATATTTTATCAAAGACAATACAACTAGGAAGTAGATCTAAAATAAGAAATCTGATGTGTTGGCCGGGCACGGTGGCTCACGCCTGTAATCCCAGCACTTTGGGAGGCCGAGGCGGGCGGATCACCTGAGGTCAGGAGTTCGAGACCAGCCTGGCCAACATGGTGAAACCCCGTCTCTACTAAAAATACAAAAATTAGCCGGGCATGGTGGTGGGTGCCTGTAATCCCTCCTACTCAGGAGACTAGAGGCAGGAGAATTGCTTGAACCCGGGAGGCGGAGGTTACAGTGTGCCAAGATTGTGCCGTTGCACTCCAGCCTGGGTGACAAGGGCAAAACTCCATCTCAAGAAAAAATAAATTAAAAAAAAAAAAAAGAAAGAAAGCAATCTGATGTATTGCCTACTAGTTTAGTATCCTCTCCCTTATCCCAGCTTTGAGAAAAAGGTTTGATCTCTCATGTCAACTCTGGTTGATTTGTGGTTGTTTCCTGCTGCACTGTATTGAGAACTCTGGAACTACATCTGAACTTTGCAAGAAGGAATACACTGTGTAATAAGCATTTGCTGCAAGGCCTGGGATGGCCTCAGGATAGTATCACTTCTTTTGCTGTACTACTCTCATGATAAAGACATTGCAAATGATATTTTACCTAAAAATACTGTATCTTTTTTTCTTGTAATATAGGAGATTTTAGTTCCTAAAAATGGGAAGAACCTACATTGTAGAAGAGACTGTTGGCCAGTATCTTTCAAACATAAATCTCCAAGGAAAGGCTTTTGTCTCTGGCCTTTTAATAGGACAGGTATGTATCTTTTACTCTGTATTTATTACTAAATAATTACTCTGTAATTTATTAAAACAAATTACTTGTTTATTTAAAGTTAAAAGATGCTGTTTAATAATAAATTCAAGGTTGGGGGATGGAAGAAGGAATGTAGAAGAAGTAACTTTAAAGTAGATCTTTGGGGAAACATGGAAAAGTGACAAACCTAGCCCAGTTTTGCTCAAGTCAGGACACCTTCCCCTTTCACCATGTAAAAGTAATTTATTACATGGAAACTTCAGAATTAGAATGTTCATTGACCAGATTATTCACATTTTGTTGTCTTTCCAGAGTGTTTTGTACTCCCTTCTAATCTTTCTAATATCTGGTTATTCAATTCTTTACAAAGGAAGCTTCTGAAAATTTTATTCCTATTCTGATTTGTGTTGTCTTATATTAGACATTATAGCAACAGTGGTCATATTTTTATATGCTGTAGTACCCATCTTACTGCATTTTTTTTTTATGTTGGATCAATAAGGAGGGAGAGGGATTGGGAAAAATTTGGAAATTAGACAAATTCTAATTTCTTCTTAGAGCTGTGTCTTAAAAATCGACACAAAATCAAACAGAGATTCAGGTACTTATTTTAAAACCTATGCCACTGATTTGTTATAGGTGAAAGAAGAACCTGTTAATCAGCTGGAGGGACTGGTCAGCAGTACAAAGCAAAACAAACAAACAAACAAAGAAAAAAAACGAGTCACACAGGCAAGCTGACTGTGTCTATCCAAAAACACTGGGGAGAGTGCACTTTGGCCCAAGGACTTGATTTTGAGGCCTACTAGCCAATAAAGCTCTTATTGGGACAATTTTCTTTCTAGATAACTTAGCCTGATGCCTTAGAATCTTCAAATTACGTAATTAACTTTCCTTATTCTGATTCTATCCATATTCCCAAGCTACTTTCTTTTATAGTTTGATGCCCCATATTATCTATTTATAAAGAATACACTGTCCAGAGGACTCGTGTTCAGATGCCTTCATGACATTTTAGCTTTCTACATCATTCTGAGTAAACTCAGTTAATGTCAGTCTAGCCATGAAAGACAGGCTCATTTTCAGAATTTTTACAAATCTCATTTCTTAATTTGCAAAACAGAGGGCACGTCTACATGGATTAACCAGGTAGCACCACCCTGTGAAGCCTCTCATTAGACAACCAGACCACCTCTCTTGAGAACAGTGTGAATTTCTTTTTAATTCAGTTACTTAGCATGTAATTCGGGGCTCTTTTTGTTAGGAGTTTTCTGTTTAAGTTTTTTTGTTTCTCTTTGTTTAAAATATTAAAGAGAAGAAGTCTTAGAGAAAGATGTGATCGGTAGAAATAAAAAGTCAGGGAGAAAGACCCTCTTCTAAATTTGTCTTAATTGGATAAAGGTTGTTTCTAAAGCTCAGGCAAACTGCCATCTTACAAATGAGTGTCTCATAATTTAAGGCCTTCCTTCCATCTGTCTTCATGCTTTAGTATGTATTGCTCAAGGACAGAGGAATTCATTCCTTTCAGTATTCTCCGTGCTTTTTCTTCGCTTTTCTTCCAGAGTTTATTGCTTTTTCCTCTCCTTCCCCTTAAGCTTGCTTGTTTCCTGGTCTCTGTCAGTTTTTCTTTTCAAAGTTATACATTTTATGAAGAAAGGAGAAGCCTTCTTAACTGAGACCTACCTTCTTTTCCTGTGTTTATTTGAATGTAACTTCCTGAAAATAACTTGTAGGAATAATTAATCTTATTTTCTATCCCAAGGTGATACTAATGATCATTTCAGGTCTAATACATTTCAGGTCGTGTGTGGGGATGATACAATGCTAACTTGCATTAGCAGTGTTATTTTCACTTTTTTTTGTAGGAAACTTTCACTCTAGTGAAACTGAGCTATTAAATGTTCCCTACATTTATTTTTAGATCTCCCACCTTTGGTCACTACTTAACTGATCTTACAACTGAAGAACAGATTGGGTGTGGTGGTTCATGCCTGTAATTCCAATGCTTTGTGAGGCCGAGGTGGGAGGATTGCTTGAAGCTCGGAGTTTGACCTAGCCTGGGCAACATAGCAGGACTCTGTCTCTACAAAAAAGTAAAAAAAAAAAAAAAAAATTAGCCGGGCGATTGTGGCTGGTTGTTCAAGCCTTGTAGTCCTAGCTACTTGGGAGACTACTCAGGAGGATTGCTTGAGCCCAGGAGTTCAAGGTTGCAGTGAGCTGTGATCACGCCACTGCACTCTAGCCTGGGCATTAGAGCAAGACCCTGTCTCTAAATAAATAAACACATACACGCACACACACAAAAAACAAAAAACAAAACAGAAAAAACCCCTGAAGAACGTGGAATCTGTTGTCACTTTGAATTGTGTCCCAAATCCCCTTTGTTATTCTGTGGAAATGTATGTGGAAGTTCCCCACTGTCATCATTTCAGTTAAAATAAGATACAAAAGGTCACTTGTTTAATTTCACTGATATTTTCCAATGTGTTCACTTACTATTTATAAAACAAATATATCTAGAAAATATAACAAATATAACTAGAAAACTGAATAAGCATATTACTTTTTAGTTAATGTAATTCATTCACTCATCCCATAAACCATTTTTAGGGACCACTCTGTGATTTATATTTGAGTTGTCCAAATAAATAAGAAGCTGATATTAAATACGTTAAAAGATAAACAACATGTGAGGAAAGGTTGTAAGGCCACTCTTAAAAATTAGCTTCCCTTTAGCTTCCACTATAATATTGGTGTTAATGATTTAACCTGTTAACAAATATTACTCAGTTTTTGCATGTCATAAAAGCTAAGGAATTCAGATATCACTCTAATTAGATTGAGGAATCAGATGCCACTCTAACAAGCTTTTAAATTTGTTTTTGAAGTGTTCTTCACAAAAGGATTATGTGATTCTTGCCACTAGAACGCCCCCCAAAGAGGAACAAAGTGAGAACCTCAAACATCCCAAAGCTAAGTTGGATAACTTGGATGAAGAATGGGCCACAGAACATGCCTACCAGGTTATCTTATTTTTCTGTTTATGTGTTTTAGTTTTATTTTAAAAAAGCTAGAATCAAGAAGATTTAGTGACTGAGTAGAGAGAAGAGACATAGGGAGAAAGTAGCTAAATATGACTGAGATTGTTAGCTGGGGTGTCTAGGAGGATAGTGTTGGCATTATACAAGGAAGAAACAGATTTGGGATGAGTGAGTGGGAATAGTGACTAAATTCACTTACAAGTATTTATTGAATGAGTTATGTATCATCAAATACATAATGTTAGAATAAGCTAAAAATAGAATTATTTCCTTTTCTGGGGTCGGGGGTGATGGGAGGGAACTTAGAGGACGAGTCAATAGGTACAGAAAGCCACCATAGCACACGTATAACTATGTGACAAACCTGCCCATTCTGCGTTTTTGGGTTTTTGTTTTTTTGAAGAAAAAGAATTTTCTTTAAGAAATAAAAGAATTATTTCCTTTTCCAATCAACTTTAAATCTTTTAAACTCAAACGTGTGTTTCTGTGTATGTATGTATATATATATATATATATACATGGACATATATCTGTATCTGTGTTTGTGTTTGTGATTATGGGGCAGTGCATAGTTATATACAACGAAAATCCTGCCTGTAATCCCAGCACTTTGGGAGGCCAAGGCGGGTGGATCACCTGAGGTCAGGAGTTCGAGACCAGCCTGGCCAACATGGCAAAACCCCATCTCTATTAAAAGTATGAAAAATTAGCCAGGTGTGGTGGCAGGTGCCTATAATCCCAGCTACTTGGGAGGCTGAGGCAGGAGAATTGCTTGAACCCGGGAGGCAGAGGTTGCAATGAGTCAAGATCGCGCCATTGTACTCCAGCCAGAGTGACAAAGCAAGACTCAGTCTCAAAAAACAAAACAAAACAAAACAAAAAACAAAGAAATTCAATATTTAATTATTATTGTTTTAGTCCGTTTGTGTTGCTATTAAGGAATACCTAGGACTGAGTAATTTATAAAGAAAAAAGGCCTTTTTGGCTCATGATTCTGCTGGCTGCAAGATTGAGCATCTGGTGAAAGCCTCAGGCTGCTTCTGTTCATGTCAGAAGGCAAATTGGAGCTGGTGTGTAAAGATCACGTGGCCAGAGAGGAAGCAACGGGTTGGGAGGTGCCAGGCTTTTTTTTTTTTTTTTAACAACCAGCTCTCCTAGGAACAAATATAGCGAGAACTCGTTCGTTGGTGTGAGGATGTAACCAAGCCATTAATGAGGGATCTGCCCCATGACCCAAACAGCTTCCATTAGACCCCACTTGGGTTCACATTTCAACATGATGTTTAAGGGGGACAAACATGGCAACTATCTTCTAAAAAAAATATTAAGTATTGTAAAGTTAAATTCCCAATGGTTTATAAATAACTTTCTACTCTAATTTTGCTTTTGGTCTCTCATGAAATTGTATATGACACACACACACACACACACACAGACACACACACACACACACACAGAGTATTAATGAATTTATATAGTAAATTAGCTTAACCTTTTACCTCTAGAAAGAAAAGGTTGATTTTACTTTTTCCCCTTTCTTGCTGTCACCTCCATCTCCTAAAAAATGGTTAATTTTTTGTGTTGGTGATTTTGAAAAGATACCAGGCTCCCTATGCTAAATATGAAAACTTTGTCAGATTGTGCTACTATAGTAAATAGAGTTTATTAAATTAGAGGAAACCACCAGCAGACATAATGCAGGTAGATTAAGGATTAGAGCATGGTATCTAATTTTTTAAGACTCTACTCCGATTAATTCCTTATACATTAACTAATGAAAAGCTAACCAAAGCACTCTAATCTCTGAGTGTAGATGATAGAAAAAAATCCATGTGGTGTTAAGAACTAGCCACAATCATGTGAAGGGAAATACAAATATGGAGATATCATGGTAGTATGTTTCAAAAACCTTGAAAATATGTATAACTTCTTAAACCAGTTGTCCATCTCAAGGGATTTGTCCTAAACAAATAATTCTATGAATGCAGAAAGACGTACCAGGATTTTTAATCTGTATTATTTTAAGGTAAAATTATATATAACATAAATGCCCAATATCAGTAAATGGGCTTAAAAATTTGAGGTTGATCTATGCGATAGAAAATAATGGATTTTCAAGTCAGACTCCCTCTGTTCAAATTCCAGATCTAGTATGCTGCTAAAAATAGGGATACAAAGGTAGAATTACTTATTCCCTTAAGGAGCTCCCTGACCAACTAGTAGGGTTCACAGATAACTATAATATAAGGCTATGTGATAAAATCCTTGGGAAAACTACCCTGAAGCCCTATGGGAGTTCAGAGATCAAAGGATCAGAGAAGGCAGCTTCCTAAAGCTGCCTTTGAAGTGTCCAATAGAGTTGAGACACGTAGAAATGTAAGAGAAAGTCATTTTTGGCCTAGGGAGCACCCTGAGTAAAGACATAGGGTTAGAAAGCTTAGGATGTATATGGGAAACAGTTTATAGCTCATTTGACTCTACTTTTCAAGTAGTTTTTGAAAAATATTTGAATTACTTGAGGAAAAGTAGTGTCAAATGAGGGTATAAACATCAGATTGACCAAATTCTAGAAAGTCTGAAATATCAATCTAAAATAAAACTTAATTTTATTTAGCTGATGGTGGGACACCATTGAAAAAATATTTCAGTCTTTGATCTCCTGAGAAAGGGGTTTATTTGCTGATGTAGCTAAAGGATGTTGTTATCAGATAGTTTTATTTATAAAGTAGTTTTAAGGTGAAAAACTAAGGACGCTCTAAGAAGACAGTTTCTCAAACGGAAAGGATTGTGTATAATGCCAAATGCTTTCGTTAGCTAATACTATGTTTCTATTTTTAGGTATCCAGAATGCTACCAGGGGGACTTTTAGTTCTTGGAGTATTTATTATTACTACTCTAGAACTGGCAAATGATTTTCAAAATGCCCTGCGTAGAGTAAGTTTGGTATATCGAAAATTCTTAATGAAATCAGTTATATGTTATTTTTATTGATTATGAGTATATATAATGATTCTAGGCATATTTAAATTTGTTTTCCATAATTCTTTTTGCTGGGGTTACATTGAAAAAGCTTTTTTCACTCAATTTCTTGGATATCTTGAGTGTAAAAACTGTTTATATTTTTTAAAACTACATATTTTAAAATAGTCTTTATTTTAGAGATAATTCTGACTATTAGGAAACAAGTTATAATGCTTTAACAGTTTTTCTTGTACAATAGCAGTATTCTGTCACACATTCCATTTAGCACCTAGTGATTATTGTAACATGAAATTAATAGGTGCTGAAATTCTTTACCTTCTTTTCAATTCTTCTTGGATCCCAAGAGTAAAACATAAAGAATCAGATTATTCCTGGACACAGTATCTATCAGGAATCTCCTGTGTTTTTTGCTTAATTACTGCACCAGAGAATAGGGTAATGTAGTGTAAAAGTAAATATGAAGTTGCACAAGCTGTTTTCCCTTAAACCCAAACGTAAGGTAAACTCTGTGTAGCCAGCTCTTTCAACATTCAGGATCCACATGAACTTTTTGAAGGGTATTTCATACCCCAAAAGAGGGGGGACCTTTTAATCTTGAGACATATAAAACCCAACCTCAGCAGTATCCCACAAAAAGTGTGCAGCTGAGAACTTCAGATGTTACAGATTTTTTCAGTCTTGTAACCTGTCCTGTCAGATGTCCAAGCCTCAAGCCTCTGATATTTGCACCTAAGGGAGTAAGGGAAGAAAATGGAGATATTCTCCCTGCTAAATTGTTTGACCCTCTGCCAATTTTTCCATCTTAAATAAATTTACCTTGTTCACAATTGTTCATTCCCTTTGGCATTTTGAAATTTAACCTAAATCTATGCATATTTAATGTTAATAGCATTGATTGTGCACTCTTTTGTGGCTGGTGCTGAATTGAGTGGGTTGAATGTGGGCCCAGTGCTAGAGGGATATAGCCAGACCCACTTTCCTTGCTTTTGTATCTTTTGTTCCTAAAAAGTATATAAAACTTTAGAAATGCTTATCTGTAAAATTACTGAGTTTCAATTATCTAATTGTTTCCATTGGCTTACATTGACCAACACTATAAGAAACAGCCTTATAAAACTTGTCAGTGTCACCCATTGTTGTTAAGAACTTTATTCTTCATGTTACATTAATATTGTGTTTCCGGAAGAAATTTCTTTTTATATCATGAAGAAAGTTGTGCCTCCTCTGATGATTGTTTGTCTTCAGCTTACAGACCATGTGAATTAGGTTACAGATTAGATTTCTCTCTGTGCATTATTGTTAGAAAGCTTAGAGCGAAATGTGTTACCACCCCTTATATCAAGTATGCATTTTTATAATTCTTATTTCTGACACAAATTTATCTCACTATTCTACTTTAACTTTTAATTTATGTTATTACTATATTTTATATGTTGTTATATATTGCCTTAAGTCTTGTGTGACATTTAAACAAGAAATGCTAATGACATGCTTGATTTCTTTAGTTAAAATCACTTGTCATTTCTCATTCTAATGAAAATAAAGTCTCTGTTCTATAGTTTATGTAAATTCTAGTTGCCCCAAATTAATTGTTCATGTCCAGTTAATCACTAATGACAGTGAATTACATTTTTTTATTTAAACCCAATTTTTTTGTAATTTCCTAAAAGGGACTCAAAAGGTTAGTAATTAGCTCCAGTCTTTAATTTGAAGAAAAGAAAAATTAATGGTGGCACACACCTGTACTCTCAGCTATGTGGGACGCTGAGGTGAGAGAATTGCTTGAGCCCAGGTATTAAAGGCCAACTTGAGCAACATAATGAGACCCCTTCTCCAGTAAATAATCATGAAATTTTAAAGCTAGATGAGAGTTGGGGACATTATAATTGCCCATTTCAACACTCACTTTTTTTTTTTCATTTTGCATTCAATTGATGTGTATTTTTCTCTTTCAGCTAATGTATGCTGTGGAAAAGTCTATAAATAGAAAGAGATTGTGGAATTTCACAGAGGAGGAGGTCTCAGAACGAGTGACACTTCACATTTGTGCTTCTACAAAAAAGTATCTTTTGTTCAGTTTATGGTTTAAAAGTACAAAGTACCAAAATAATATTATTGCAAGGTTTTTTTGCTATTTAAATCATCATTTAAAAAATAGGCATAGTTTTGTAAGATTTTTTCTGTAAATAATATGGAATTAGAGCTGCTAATAATAATAATAGCAATAATGGTTGTTAATCATGTCCCAAGGTCATAAAAAGCTTGAGATCTGAAATATGAAAGTCTCAGGATTTTGAATTTTTTACCTATCTGCCCCGGTACATCCAAGCACAATAGGTTCTCTACAGAGATAAATGCCTAACTCATGACTTAGGCAAAGTAATGTTTTTATTTTGGTAAAGTTTTCACCTCCAGTTTCGATAGATAATGATGTACAATTCAAAGCACAGGTGCACAGAGCTGGATAGTATAGGACATCCGAGAAATTCTTATGTCTTTGGCTAAGATGAAATGACACTAAAAGCCAGTTACAGGGCCTCCTTACCTTCTCTTGTCTACACCTTGCCAGGGCAAGGGTACCTCCCAAGCAAGGGTCAGCCTCACTGAAGGAGTGACACGATTGATGGACTTCCAAAGACAGAATTTTAAAAGTGACCATCCCTGCAGAAGCAGGGCTTTTTTTTTTTTTTCTTTTCTTTTTATATCTTTAGTATTTAACTGCAAAGTTTCATGTACAAGCCCTTTAATCCAGTAAATAGTCTCAAGTTTGACCTCATATAAAACAGTGCTACTTTTTTTAATGGAGAATGTGTGTTTGAGCAGAATTTCACAAGTGCTTTGATTCTATTTATTGCAATTAGCGGGATTCATAAAAGGTAGGAAATGATTTTTCAAGCATCTCAAGTACTATAGTGACAGCAGTTTACATGTATGACTACATATACACATATATGTATACACATGCACACATGTATACATATATGTACGCATATCTTTAAAGTTATGATTTTGTAAGAACTTTTGGATGTGTGCATTTTTTAGTTTATTTTTTGATGGTTTATATTCTTTTAGTTATCAATAATGCCTTTTTTGGTTATTTCTTTCCTTAATTAGTAAAGAATATTTTGTCGAACTTATGATATGCATGATCCAAAGGTAAGAAATTTACTCTTTAAAGATTTTTCTGTGCACAAAGTATTTTCAATCAAAGTTCAGCTTTATGTTTAGTTTTAGTAATTTCCATTGCCATCACTTCCTACTGATGTCTACAGCTAACTATAGTTTTTACTTTGAACTATGATTAATTTTATTAAAGGTAAGGAAAACTTTTGTGTGTGTGACAGGGTCTCACTCTGTTGCCCAAGCTAGAGTGCAGTGGTGCAGTCATGGCTCACTGCATCCTCCACCTCTTGGGCTGGAGGGATACTCCCACCTCAGCCTCCTGAGTAGCTGAGACTACAGATGTGCACCACTGCACCGTAATTATTATTATTATTATTATTATTTTTTTTTTTGATAGAGATAGGGTTTTGCCATGTTACTCATGCTTGTCTTGAACTTCTGGGCTCAAGTGATCTGCCTGCCTTGGCCTCCCAAAGTGCTGGGATTGCAGGCTTGAGCCACCAGGCCCAGCCAACTTTTAAAAAAATTGTTAAAATATCTTTGTTAATCTCCTCCTGCCTTGTTTGTGTATTTAGTTTTATATTTGAGAGGCTGGTAATAAAAGTGACTGAGGACTTTGGTAGCTGCAATGCCTACTAAACAAGCTATGTGTATTCAGCAAAACCCAGACTAGCACTTTGCTAATGCATCTAAAAGGGTTGTGAAAGAGTAACTTTGCAGTGTCATTAGCAAGGATGGGACAGAAGGAGAATGCCTGCCACCTAGGAGTTGCTCAGTGATTATTTGCTTCACATCAGAATCTTCAATATTGATACTGTTGCAGCTAGAGGATCAAAGGACCTTTCAGAATTCTAAACATGGAAATTTCTGATTCTTTTTCTGTCTACCATTGGGAGGAGCAGTGATGCCAAGGATGCCAAGCTTGAAGAGTACTGAACTTAACACATGCTTTCTTTTGTATTTAGTTCAACCTGTAGGCTTTTGATCGAGGGTTTAGCCATATATGTTAGATATCAGCTTGTATGCGTTATTTAGGTTATATACTTAATGATGTTTTGTTGATCCATGTATTTTATCTAGACCACATCATAGTTATTTTTCTCCCTTCTCCACTACTAGGGTTCAGCAAGACCAGCAGATTGGAAGTATCAAAGTGGATTATTATCCTCATGGCTTTCTTTAGAGTGTACAGTTCACATTAATATTCATATCCCACTTTCTGCTACTTCTGTCAGCTATACTCTGGAGAAAAATACAAAGGTATCAGGGTAAAATGAATTTTCTTCAGTGATTGCTAAGTGAACAATCTGCTTTTATTTTACTTGCATGTGTCATTCATTTTACAATCCTAAAAAATTACATTCTGTTTATATGAGTGAGTAACCATACCCACAGCCAAATTAGAAATTTTTAGAAGTGGAACAATGTCATAATACTAGTGTATTCAGTTTAATAATAACTAATAATTTAGTTATTGAACTAAATACACTAGTATTTATTGTGTGCCAATTAAGTATTATTATGTGCTTTGTCATTAAACTAAATACACCAGTATTCATTAATTAACATATGTAAAATGTAATTAATGTACGAAGTTATAGTGTTTGGACTTTCAGCTTTCTCTTGGTACTTAGATTTTTTGTCTTTTTCCAGTTCTTTTTTGTATTTCTATACCATTCTTTTATTTTTATCTTATTTTTCTTCATTTTTCCCATTGAAGATGTCAAATGGAGCTTTTTTTAAAAAAATTATTTAGACATATTATTTGAGGTTTTTTTCTCACTTTTTTTTTTTAAGGTAATGGGCGTTAAATTTTATTTAACTGGTCATGTACTTAATAACCTCCCGAGTCTGTGACATAAATGTTATTCTGGGATAAAGATCAGAAAAAAACTATATTATTAGATAAGGTACCAAGAATTGGGGGGTATAATTTTTTTTTAATTTGTGAAACTAGATTTAAATGCTGCATTAATGAGACTTTTAGGGATTTTAATATTTGTTTATTAGGTGAAAAAAGTAGATTATAGGAAGTTTAATTGAGATAGGAAATCTGAGAGATTTCCATGTTGTGTTTCTCTTAAGAATGGACTTACACGCTGGGCCAAGGAAATAGAAAATGGTGTTTATTTGATTAACGGACAAGTTAAAGATGAAGATTGTGACCTATTAGAAGGACAGGTGAGTTAAGAGAAAAATCATCTTATTAAATTGTTAATGCTTAAGGAAAAATAAAAGATGACTTATTTTTAGTCCTTGCCTACAAGAAAACTGATTTCATCTACCTCTCATTTATAATTTCTTTAAAATAAAGGGCAAATGTTTTTCTTAGAAAAACAACCCCATTAAAAAGTAGGCAGAGGACATGAACAGACACTTTTCAAAAGAAGACATACATGCAACCAAGAATCGTATGAAAAAGTGCTCAGCATTACTGATCATTAGAGAAATGCAAATGAAAACCACAGTGAGATACCATCTCACACCAGTCAGAATGGCTGTTACTAAAAAGTCAAAAAATAACAGATGCTGGTGAGGCTGCAGAGAAAAAGGAATGCTTACACACTGTTGGTGGGAGTATAAATAAGTTCAGCCATTGTGGAAGGCAGTGTGGTGATTCCTCAAAGACCTAAAAACAAGGATACCATTTGATCCAGCAATCCTATTCTGGCTGTACACCCAAAGGGATATAAATCGTTTTATTGTAAAGACACATGCATACATTACATTCACTGCAGCACTATTCACAATAGCAAAGACGTAGAATCAACCTAAATGCCCATCAATGATAGACTGGATAATGAAAATGTGGTATGTACACACCATGGAATACTATGCAGCTGTAAAAAAAGAACGAGATCATGTCCTTTGCAGGAACATGAGTGGAGATGGAGGCCATTATCCTTAGAAAACTAATGCAGGGGCCAGGCGTGGTGGCTCACATCTGTAATCCCAGCACTTTGGAGGGGCTGAGGTGGGTGGATCACTTGAGGTCAGGAGTTCAAGATCAGCCTGGTCAGCATGGTGAAACCCTGTCCCTACTAAAAGTACAAAAGTTAGCCAGGTGTGGTGGCAGCTGCCTGTAATCACAGCTACTCAGGAGGCTGAAACAGAAGCATCGCTTGAACCTGGGAGGTGGAGGTTGCATTGAGCTGAGATCGTGCCACTGCACTCCAGCCTTGGGCTACAGAGTGAGACTCCATTTCAAAATAAAAGAAAAGGAAAAAAAGAAAACTAGCAGAGGAACAGAAAACCAAATACCATATGTTCTGACTTATAAGTGGGAACGAAACAACGAAAACACATGGACACATAGAGGGGAAAAACACACACTGGAGCCTATCGGAAGGTAGAGGGTGGGAGGAGGAAGAAGGAGAGAGTCAGGAAAAATAACTAATGGGTTCTAGGTTTGATACCTGGGTGATGAAATAATATGTATATCAAACCCCTATGACTCAAATTTACCTATGTAACAAACCTGCACATGTACTGATGAACTTAAAAAATAAGTAAGTCCAAGAAAAAAAGAGAAAATGATGTGATTGAAATCCCGAAACTTATGGGAGTGTCATCTGAATTTCATTTAATTTCCAAATTGCAAATTGCTGACCTGCAACCAAAGGCCACATGTTGTTCTGCCCTCATGGCAGTTCAAAAGCTATGGCAATTTTATAAGAGAAGTCTATAGAGGCTTCTAAAATAGCTTTGACCTGAAGGAAGCAGAACTTCTGTGATCCCTCCCTTTTCAAAGCAGGGATCAGCAAACTTTATGTGAAGAGAAAAATACTACATATTTAGATTTCACAGTCTGTATTTTTATGTCTACTGTGTAGCATGAAAGCAGCTACAGGAGATATACATAAGTGAATGATCCTGGTTGCATACCAGTAAAACTTTATTTACAAAGACAGGTAGCAATGTGGGTATTTGCCCACAGGCAATGGTTTGCCAGTTGTTGCTTTAGAGGAATGAAAGTATGGAATTAATTGTTTTAAAGACTGCACATTGATCCAGAATACATAAAGTAATATCTATGTAAAAAACTAAATTAAAATAATTAAAAGACTTGTTTTTTCTAAGTTAGTACATCTACAATAGTCTAAGCTGTCTTTTATGTTCTATAGTCTTAACAATTTGGCTTTTTAACTTTTGTGTTTTTTCAGAAAAAATCTTCTAGAGGAAATACTCAAGCAACTAGTCATTCTTTTGACGTCAGAGTGCTAACGCAGTTGGTAAATATTTTAAAATACCACTTATTTAAAATATTTATTAGACTAACCATAATGAAACTTTCTGTTTTTATGTTTCTCATTAGAGAATAAAAGGATTTTAGAGCTGTAAGAGACTGTATGAAATGGCTGGTTATAGGAAGTGTTATTCCCAAGAAACGTCATTTTAATAAAACCTGTTTGGGTTTTTTGCCTTAAGGATATTAAAATTTTAACATCAATAGCAGTTGAAAAAAATATGTACATATACATATATACATATGTGATATGTATGCATGTGTGTAAATATTTTGGGTTGTAGCTTTTATAGTTAAAGTTGCAATTTTAACAACTTAAAAGTAAAAGATGTGTATACAGAGGTGCAAAGAGTTTTCATATGCTCAATTTGAAGTAGATTTATTAGATTTATACCGCTTGATTTGATAAAAATTACAAAGTATTAATTAGCAAGTTTTATATTTCTGTATGGTTTCATTAATTTATACATCTTTTCGAAAATTTAAAAGTTGGATATCTTGAAGAATAAAAAGTTAAAGCCACTAATTACTCCTAAAAATATACATGGCTTTGATTTTAATCCTACTTGAAATTATCCTAAAGAACAGACAAGGGTATAAAATAGCACACGCGTGTTGTAGGAAACTTTATTTCAATATTATACTGAATTTTGAAACAGAAGTACTCTCAGGACTTGTCTTTTTTTGAACTTAATAGAATAGAATTAAAAGCAATTTGGCATTTAAGGATGTTTTAGTTTCTTCTTTTTCTGTGTGTAGCAATAGAGCATTAGTAAATTGTCTTTGGACTTATGCCACTCAATGTGAGTTCTCAATTTCATTTTTCAATACCTTAGAAGTATTTTAGTCTTGATTTTCTACTTTGTCTTGATTTTAGAAGTATCCTTTGTTTTGAGGCTGGCTATTCCTCTACTTATGTGCTCTTCACTAGTTAGGCTTACTACATGGTTTATTAAACAATTTGGTTAAGATTATTTTATTAATAGTATAAAATTGTAGTTGGGAGATGTATAGAGTGTGGGAATATAGAGAGATGAGTGAAAGATAATCTCATGAGATAATTTATTGTAGTAATATTATATAGTATATTTTTGGCAGTCACTCCACCGATCACTTAACTGGAAATTTTGAAGTGACTAATATACAATAAGTAGTCAGTACTTATTGCCACTTTTTTCCCAGTTAAGTCTCATTGATTCCTTATTTGTAGTATTAAGCTTTTCTTTTATTTTTCATACAGTCCTGCTGTTACTAGCCTTACAACACTATTATTTTACCTAAATTAGCACAAGTAACCCTTAACTGGTCTCTCTTCATCTATACATTCTTGTCCAAACTGATTGTTTCTCTAAAAACCCTTCTACCTTTGTTAGTATATCTCTTGAAATACTTTCCATTTATCTACTCTATCCTGTTTATACACTCAGATGATCATTTCTGAATCATAGTTTATGTTCAGTTATTAATTTTTTTCAAGAAGTATTTATTGAGTTTGTACAATGGCCAGACACTGATTATGTTATTCTTCTTGCTCAAAATTTCTTAAGTGTTCTGTACTGACTAGTTAGAGAAGTCCAACTCAGGGTTCTTCATAGCCTCAACATACCTTTTTGTTCTTTCTTTCTACCTCTTATTTTCTAGATGTATGCTTGCTGTACCTTTAAAACTCTGTATTTCCTGAACTATGTGTTGTGTCTTTGCTCTTTTCTCTGTCACCCAAACTGTCAAAATCCTATCAGTACATTAAGATCTAGCCCAAATGCCATTACTTGTGTAAGATTTCATTTGGTTCCCATAAAAATGGGGAATCTTCTCTTTTTCAAATGCCATGTTAGCATCACAGAAGTTCCTTTACCTAAAGGCTGTTTGTCAGCCAGGTTATTCCTAAGTCCAGGTAATCAAGAGGAGTTTACATTTGTAGACCCCAACTGGTTTACATTTCCACCTAAAAGGAATGAGTCAGACCTCATATTCTTTAAAACTTTTCCTGGCTGAGCATGGTAGCTCATGCCTGTAATCCCAGCAATTTTGGGAGGCCTAGGCAGGGTGATTGCTTGAGCCTAGGAGTTCAAGATGAGTCTGAGCAACAAGTGAAACCCTGTCTCTACAAAAAATACAAAAATTAACTGGGGGTGATGGTGTGTGCCTGTAGTCCCAGCTACTCGGGAGGCGAAGGTGGGAGGATCGATTGAGCCTAGGATCTTGAGGCTGCAATGAGCTGTGATAGCACCACTGCACTCTAGGCTGGACGACAGAACGAGACCCTGCCTCAAACAAAACAAAACCGACCAACCAACCAAAAAAAAATACCTCTTTTCTTTAATATGTGTGTATATGATCTTTAATAGTCTAGTCTATTTTGGAAAACAGTGCCCTATTTAAATATAGATAGATAAATAGCTAGCTAGCTCGATAGATGTATATACACACACACACAAATATTTACATTTACTAATATGTAAATGTGTTGTATGTTAAAAAGATATACGTTATATATTAAATATGTAAAATAGGGCATTCTTTTTAGAGTAGTTTTGTCTACAGTAAAAATTTATGGAGTAGATAGAGGAAGCCTGTTATTCCTCCTCCAACCCCACCTTATTGATATATCAGTGAACTCGACATGTGTCATATGGAAGCTTATTCCAGATATCGTATCAGCATGGTCAGACTGCTGCTTGGTTTGATGATAGCCATTTTTGAATGGACCCAGGACCTTTGGAGCTATGTGTTCTGTGGCTAATTTTTTATCAACAAGTCCTTGACCATGTTAGAGTTTAAATTGTTTAACAACACCTAGAAGGTTTACATTACCTTAGATATTGCCTGAATTACACTAGACATCAAATAATGCTCTTATGATAGCTATGCATTTAAATATTCTACTCTTCATTATTTTTCCGCATTTAATCCTGATTGCGTAAGCAGATAGGCACAAAGCACTTTTCACAAGTTGTGTAATTTGACTCTTGTTCTTCAGAATTGATTTTGTTGTTGAATGACTTATACTCCAAGTGTTCTTAGAACATAAATTACTTCCTTACCATTTCCATTTTTTGGTTATCTTTTTAAATCATGATTTTTTGTTTCCATTATTATGAGCCTCTATTACAGGTTGAGTGTGCCTTATTTGAAACACTTCTTAGGACCAGAAGTGTTTTGGGTTTGGGATTGTTTTAGATTTTGTAATATTTGCAGAATACATACCAGTTGAGCATCTCTAATCCAAAAATCTAAAATCTTATATGCTCTAATTAGCATTTCCTTTGAGCATCACATTGGTGCTCAATGAGTTTTGGATCTTGGAGCATTCAGGATTTTCAGATTAGGGATGTAGTACTTTAAAGTTACTTTAAAGTTAAAGTACCTGTAGTACTTTAACTATTTTGATACTATCCTTGTTTTTGGCACTTATTAAGATGATGAGGTTGAAAATATATGTGAAACACCTGAAAACCAAACAAGAGCACTGGCATTCCTTAGACTGAAGAGGATGGGACTGTGAGATGAAAGTGACTGCTTACGACCACTGATACCATTTTCTGATAGCAGGCATAGTTGACTTGTTTCAGTTTTGCTCTGGAGCATAGCGTTACTTTTAGTCTATGAAAGCTTTTGGTTGAAAGTGTGTAAATATATGTGTCTGTGCATTGCTTATAGTTTTACCATAGTTTTCACATCCCACTTTGTTATTGTTGAACTTATTTTGCATTGCACAACTTACATCTACTACATCATGTCTTTGTACATCTTTTAATCATCACAGTACTGATGTAATTTGCAAATAATATATTTTTAGGAACATATTGAGTGAATATTGAACCATTTTAAATGGTTATGTTAGAAAAATTTAGATGTAGTTGTGTTTAATTTCAGTATACTTTCAAAATGCCTGGAAAATAATATATAACTTATGAAAACAAATATGAAGGCCTTTAAATAATTTGCGGCAAATAATTTCAAATGCTTGGCTCAGTCAAAACTTTCTTCTGTCTTCATAAAATCTCTAATATAATGTTTAAGTATTTCCTGTAGTTAATCATTGTTGGCTGTTAGAACTTAAACAGATTTTGTCTTTCAGCTCCTGAATTCAGACCACAGATCCACAGCCACAGTCCAGATATGTAGCGGTTCTGTAAACCTTAAGGGTACTGTGAAATGCAGAGCTTATATCCACAGCAGTAAACCCAAAGTTAAAGATGCTGTGCAGGTACAAAAAGGAATAACTAGCGAATGAAAACATGTTAACTATTAACAAAAACCTAAATTTTACCTTTTTTTATCTTATATTTTATAATTATTCATTTGATTTTAACTGATAATGGCCTATTGTGCAGTCCAAATGTACCATATAACTGGTGTCAAGATTTTCATATGTAGAGGATCTATTTTGTGCCTTTTTAAAAATTATGGCTATACAAGTTTAGTAAGTGTTCCACAGTTGTACATATTAGTATCTAATTTGGAACACTGCAATTATTTTTTTAGATGTGAAACCTTTATTCATTTATTTGGTTTTAATTATTTAGATATGGTCTAGGCAAATTTGTCATTAAGCTATACATTTGTTAATAAGTGTGCTAAATAAGTGGAAATAAAACATTGAATGATGTATCAGTTATTTAGTGGGCATGATTGTACTGGAAAGCAAATTATGTTTTTTTGTTAGTTAAATAATGTAAATCCAAAGTATTTTATTTCTTACTGTGTTTTTGTGTGTTTTTCCCTGTAGGCAGTAAAGAGGGATATATTGAACACAGTTGCTGATCGTTGTGAAATACTATTTGAGGATCTGCTTTTGAATGAAATTCCAGAAAAAAAAGTTATGAGTATAAAATTACTTTTTTGCCTAACTTCGACTGATGTAGTAGTAAGATATCAAGATATAGCAAATACATCATCTTTTATAGCTACCTATCTATGTTTTCAAACAGTGTATCATCTTTTATCATTGGATGAACATTTTTCAGTTGCTGCTCAGAAAAAAAATTTTTTTTTTTTGAGACAGAGTCTCACTGTGTTGCCCAGGCTGGAGTGCAGTGGTGCAGTCAGGGCTCATCTGAAGCCTCAGCCTCTTGGGCTCAAGCAGTCCTCCTACCTCAACCTCCCTAGTACGTGGGCCTGCAAGCACATGCCATGTTGCCTGGCTAATTTTTAGTATTTCTTTTTTAGAGACAGGGTTTTGCCATGTTGCCCAGGTTGATCTCAAACTCCTAAACTAAAGTGATCCACCGTCCTTGGCTTCCCAAAGTGCTGGGATTACAGGTGTGAGCCACCATGCTTGACTCTAGAAAAATGTTTTTGAACACTTTATCAAATTTAGCAAATTTGTCGACACTTAACAATTTCAGGGAGGATTTTTTAAAAAATTAATTCTAAGTGAACTTCTCCTGCCAGAATGAGTAAACCTTGTTGACATTTTAAAGTTAATATTTTTTGTTAATATCTATGAGTATTTTAAATAATTTAGCCATAATCAAAATATTATTTGTGTTAAATACTATATAATACGTCCTTTAATAGGTACTATTTACATAAACTACATTAGTTTATATGCTTCTCAGCGATTACTCTAACAGACTTCATTAGTATTAAAAAAAGCCTGAGTCATAGTATCTTACCCTTTAATAACGATTGCAACTTTTGGGAAACATAATAATTTATACCATCGCAGTAATTGGTATTAAAAATGTTTTTAATCAAAAGCAAATTAAAATATTGAGTACACTTTTTAAAGCTACATCATCATCTCCCCATTCTTATTATTCCAGTGTCACTGGATTTGAGATTCACATTTAGATATGTACATAATTGAAACATTCATATTAGCTTCGGGTCCAGCAATTCTCCTGCCTCGGCCTCCCGAGTAGCTGAGATTACAGGCGCCCGCCACCACAGCTGGCTAATTTTTGTATTTTT